GCCTCTGCCCGGGCACTGGGCCTCCTAGGAAGGTCACGGGGTCAGAGAAGCCCAGCCTGCCCCTCTGTCTCAGCTCAGTCCCACTCTGACATGGCTCCTTCTGTGAACTGGGGTTCTTCGTGGGTCTTTTCCAGGGCGAGGTTAGGTCCCCGAGGCTCTGCTTCTGCCTTCTTAATGGCTGATTCTGGATCGCTCATTCAGCCACCACCCACCCATCCCCAGCTTCTGTTTGAGCCAAGAACCACACTGTCTGAAGGATCACCCCCTCCAGCTGTGGAGACATCACCTCTGCCCATGGCCTCTGCTCAGCCCATCCACTCAGCCTCCAGCCCTGCCTTTCTTTGTCAAGAATCACTGTCCCCACAGGTCAGAAGGGGACAGTCACCCCGACACCTTCCAGCACTCGGTGTCAGCCTGGGAATTGGGGTGTACTCCTGGGCAGCCAGGCTAGATAAACACGTGGCCAGCTGTGTGGCCTGCCTTCCTATGATGGGGTGTTTGGGAAAGAGTCTGAGGCTGGAGGTGAGGGCCCCTCCTTTGGACTACAGTGACCCCAGGCCAAGAGCGGTCACTACCACACATTGCTCTTCCAGTTCTTTCCCATAGAACACCCTGGCTTCAGAGATTCCCATCACCTCGGCCAGAGTTCGTGGGAAGTTCCCCCCTCCGCTTCCCTGTCCTGGAGAAGTAAGATAGTGGGGATCTGAGGCTTGGGAGGACTGGGAGGGGTAAGACAGCAGAGTGCCAGGGAGGTTAGTGTGGTGGTGCCGCAAGGCAGAATCTGCAGAGGTCATCGCAGTCCCGAGGGCAGCGAGCTGACCAGTGCCCACATCAGTAGTCTTCAGTTCTGCTGGGCCAGTGGTGCAGAGGAAGAGGCCGGCAGAGGGAATCCAAGGACTCAGATGTTCCTCTCCTCTGTCCCCTCCCTCCTCCTGGTGACAGCACCCTGAGAGAGCTGGGCTGCCCCGAGGGGCCCACCGGGATCTGGCCTGCCCAGAGCCATCTGGCTGCTGTCCCCGGGAAGACAGGGGCGGGAACCTAGGCTGGGGTCAGGAGCAGTGTTAGACACTGGAGAGCGGAGGAAAGAAGGAAAGGAGAAAAGGAAGGAGGAAGGGGCTGGATAGAAGGATGGGAAGAAGACAAGATGGAAGGAGGAGGAACCGGGGAAGGAGAAAAGGAGAGCGTGCAGAGGGGAGAAGGGGCTCACAGACTTGCTCCTGAAATGCTCCAGGTCCTTCTGTGTGTATTCACCTATTTCCCGCGGACACTTTTCACCCTCCCAGAGTGCTCATGCATCTCCCTGTGCCTCCCCAGCCTGGCCCCAGATCCGGCTGGATTGGGAGCTCTGTGCCCACCGCCATTGGCTTGGCCACACCCCTTTGTTAGGCACCAGCATCTGAAAATGTCAAACTGTTTCCAGCCGTTCAGGCCCAGGCCCGCCCCTTCTTCCCCTTCTCTGTTTTCAGTTCCAGTTGCTGCTGCCCGAGTCCAAACTTCCTCTGTCGCCTTGGGGACGGGGGAGGGCCGGCTCTTTTTCCATCCCAACATCTGTCTCCATAAACAGTTGTGTGCTCCTGGCACCCCCCTTCTGGCCCAGCCTGGGGAGGAAGTGCTTTGTTTATTTGGAGGGGTTGGGTTCCTCGCCAGCGCCTCTTGGGGTTGGCCCTGGGGCTGGATGGCTGCAGCCCTGGACGCTGGGAGCCCTGGGCATGTGGCCAGCTTTACACTCAGGCATCCGCGGATCTCGGCTCTGCTGTGCTAGCTGGGCTGCCTTCCGTAGGATATTTAACCTCTCTGAATTTCCGTTTTCCCTTGCTGAAGCAGAGATTTTGACAGTTGTCAGACAGGTTCTGAGATCATCAGAGACTGGGTACCGTCCAGAGGCGCACACATCTGCTCTCACGGCAGTTCATGCTCCCAGTGAGTCTGGAGATGCTATTTTCAGCAGCAGTGCTTGGGAGAGGGCTCAAGCCCAGAGGGGTCCCTAGTCCAGGACTCTGAGGAGGTCAGCGGCAGGGACCAGATTCCACCTGACAGACAAGCAGGACCCCAGTTTACTAGCTGAGGCAGCTGGGAGAGGAGGCCTCTGACCCCGCTCTGGCAAGGTCACCACGGGAGTCTGTCCTGGGCCATTGGACTCAAATAGCAGCGACACTACCTAGGGCCTTGACAGGCCTGTAGCCCATCACAAGTCCAGCACCCTTTTGTGTCCACAGTTCCCTGTGTGGGTCCAAGAGAGAGATCAGTTGTCCTGTCTTGTTTCCAGACGGCCAAAGAAGAACCTTATACGTACAAGCTCCAAAGTGAGCTTTGGCTCTGGGGCAGAAAGAATCTACCTGTATCTGGGCATGGTAGTACATGCCTATAATTCCTGCACTCTGGAAGGCTGAGGCAGGAGAATTCCAAGTTGTATCCCAGCCTGGGCAATTTAGATATTTAGCAAGGCCCTGCCTCAAAACAAATAAATGAATAAATAAAGATTTCAAAAGAGCTGGGTACATAGATCAGTGCAAAGCCCCTGGTTCAGCCCCAGCACCGGCCCTACAAGGATTCATTCCATGAACCTGAGCCCAGTTCCTGACTGGCCCTGGGTGGTGTGTGTCTCTGAGACTCGGTTGGATCTTCCATGAAAGGGGTAGCAGGGAACAAGTAATTTTCCCCACCGCAGGGGACACTGACTACGTGCTTAGAAGGCTGTGAGTGCTCCAGAAACAGCGGCGTTGACGCTGAGATTACTCGGTGGGCTCAGTGGCAGCCTGGGCCCCCAGGATTTGGGCACACAGGGACTGGCTGTCCGTGCAGCCCTGAGAAGGACAGAAGAATAAGGACAGCATGGAGTACTGGACGCAGGGGCCAAAAACCAGTCCTGTCTGCAGCAGAGGCTCGGGGCATCCATTCCACCTCCTCAGTCTCTTAACTGCGCCTCAGCCAGTGCCCGTGAGAGCCCTCAGGGTGGGGATGGACCCTCCCTCTACCTGTGTCCAGGTCCTCCCCGATGGGGGAGATTGGCAGACTTCGCTGGGTGGGGACAAGGGAGTGGGTACCTGAAGGACAGTGCCGGGGGCAGGAGCTGAGCGCGTGACTGTGGGTGCCCCGCTGCCTGTAGATCTGACTTGGAGTCTCAGAGAGAAAGGTCCCTGGAGAACGTCCAGGTGACAGAACGGCAGGCCCCAAGTGGGGCCCAAGTGACAGCTCTGCCTCTGAGTATCTTCTGCTCTCTCCTGGTGTCTTCAAGAGACAAAATAAACTGATCAGAGGCCAGTAGCCGGGAGGAAGGGGCTGTCTATGCACAGTCCCCCACACTCCTAGTCAGAGGTTTGTGCTGCTGCACTTAGTACCCCAGAGGGGTCCCTCTGCACCCCCCCAGGGCTCTACAGCAGCAGGAAACCCAGGCCAGGTGTGGACAGGCAGCGGTCCACAGCGCTGGCTCAGATGGATGCTGCCGGGGGCTCTGCATGGCTTGTAACAATCAAGTGGCACATGGTCCGCCTTCCTGTGTTGCAATTCTTTAAGAATGTCCTGGTTTTACGGAACGCAGGGAAGTATTTCAAGGTAAAGAGGCATCATGCCTGTGACTTACACTGCAGTCTCCAAGGGGAGAGAGATGGGGGAGAGAGAGAGAGAAAATAACACAAATGTGGTCAGATGGTCACTTCTGGGGAATTTGGACCAAGGATATACAGGAATTCTTTGTAGCATTTTTGCAACTTTTCTGTAAGCTCGAGATTTTTTTTAACTAAAAGGTCGGGGTTTCTTGTTTGTTTGGGTTTTTTTAAAGCACATGATACATTATAATCCTGGGGTGGGGAGGGAAATGTGGGCACAGAGTGGGGCCTGCCGACTGGCTAGGTGGGTGCTTCTTGACCGTTCCAGGTCCTCTAGGAGGGCTCTTGACCCCCAGAGAGAGAGAGCAAAGACGCCACAGTGCCGCATCCCTTCTGCCGCCCTTGGGTTCCAGTTTTCCACCCCTGTGGCCAGTCTTCCCTTTGGGGGGCCAGTGACTCAGCCACGGGTTCCATGTGGCAGGAAGTGGGCACAGTGACTCATGGGATGGCTTGCACCCTCCCTGCTGGAGGTTGGGATAGTGGCTGAGGCCCCAGAAGGCCCCTTGAAGAGGGAGTTCTGTACCCACAGGGACCAGGGCACTGCTTTTGGGGGTCCTCAGCAGCTGGAAGCCCTCCTTTGACTTCTCAGCTGGCAGAATCTGCCCAGTGCTAGATCTGCCCACTGCCTGAAGGCTTTTCCGGTCCCTTGTGGGCATGGGCATGGTGCTAGACATGTCTTGAGAATTCCTCACTGTCTGCAGAGCTGGCAGTGGTTACCAAGGCCACTGACCCTGCTGGCTGCCCCCTGCCATGGCCGCCTCAGGGTCATGTTGGCACTCAGCAGCATGACGCCCGTGTGCCAGCTCCCTGGGGCCCGAGCGTCTGTCCTGCCAAGGCGCCTACTGCAGGGCTCACCCGCGGTGGATCGATGCTTGGGGCTTGTCTACCTTTGGGATAGTTAGTGCAGGGCACTGAGCTGAAGACTTAGGGCTGGGCATTTTCCTTTAAGAGTCCAGGCACACATTTTAAGGTTGAGGCACACAGTTACAGGGGAGATGGCCCCAAGCTGTGTATCCCCACAGGGGGACAGTGAGGCTCAGGGAGGCTAGAGAACTGGCCCGAGGCCACACAACTCTGAGTGGTGAACTGGGGCTTTGAACTCAGGATCTATCTGCCCTAGCGGCTCCTGGGTGTGTAGGGAACACACCCCTGCCCAGTGTGGACGCACCATGCTGGATGGCTCGGCCAGGAAGAGTGTTTACTTGCTTGTTTTCTGTACCTTCCCAGCACCACACAGCTCTGACACGTGGCGAGGGGCGTAGGCCCGTCTTGAAGTACGACCGATTGTCCCACATGACTGTGGACACAGCACCAGCTCTCTGCAGCAAATGCCAGTCCTGCGGACCTCCTGTTCCTCTTATCCCATACCCCCTCCCCTGCACCCAGCTCCCTGTCAGCTGCCACTGTGCCCTGCTCTTGGCCCCTGGTCTCCCCTGCACTTCCCACTTCCTGTCTCCCATGGGTCTCTCTCTGCTCCTCCCCCTGTCCTTCCAGTTCCTTTTCTATACCTGAGCCTCGGGGTTAGGGCTCTGGAGACCAGCATACACCCCTGACAGCTGCCCCTGTCAGGCATGGCAGCATGGTCTGAGTTGCTGCCCCTTTCTCCTCAAAGACATCCAGCTCAGAAGGAAGGGCTTCTGCGGCTGCTGGGGTCTTCTCTGGGGCCTCCCTCCCACCCTGATTCCCACACGGCCAGCCTAGTGTTTCTGTATTGTCTGGTCAGTGTGACAAAGCAGTCATATGCCTTGGCTGGAGATGAAGTATTTCTCTGAGAACCTGGTAGCCAGGGGCCCTCAGTAATCAGCATTTTACTCCTCCTCCATTGCACCAAGGTGGAGCCTGTCTCCTGGAACCTTCCTTTCCTTGCTTTTCTTCTGAGGGAGGTCATTGCTAGATTTATTAACCATTGCCTGAGGATCAACTAGCTGATGAAACTCTTTATAAGTCTGAGTGATTTTTATTGCTGTAACAAAATCCCGGAGGCAGATTACTTTATAAAGACAAGAGGTTCATTCAGCTCATGGTTCTGGAAGTGCAAGGCCTGGATGCCTCATGTGGTGTGGCCTTCACCCACAGAGCTCTGCGAGGCACCGAGTGTCACATGGCAGAGATGGAGCTCACAGGTGTAAGCAATGTCTCTTCTAGTCTTTCTCTCTCTTCTTACCCAGCCACAAGAGTTCTATTATGGCAGCTCCACCCGGAGGACCAGTCCCCTCTTAACGCCCCCTGAAACACAGCAGCCAGATTGTCTCCTCTCTTAAACAACTCAGAATGTGATTGAAGTCCAGCATATGTTCCAAGGGACACGTCACATTCAGACCACCTCTTCACCTCCCCAGGCGACACTCCGGCCTCCACCGCCTGCTGCTTGTGAAGGTGGGTCTCATTGTCCTCTCCTACGTTGGTGCCCACCTCCCAGCACTGCTGCCGGCCATTGGAGGTGGAAAGCTGTTCCCTGGGTCCATCTGATGAGGACTAAGGACATGATGATGGCTGTCTGGTGTCTATTATAAAGGAAAATGCCCCTGCCCCGGCCAGTACACTTGTTTCTTAGATGCCCAGGTTCCTGCCCCAGGTCCGGTCGCTTCTGTCTCTTAGACACACTGGTCACTGTGATGCACACTGTACAAACCACTGTACAAACCAATCCATTCTGCCTGTGTACTCCTCCTGCTTATCCCACATAAGCCCTGGACCACTAGACATCAGGCCCTGACCTGGGAATGATCCTGATCAGTGTCCATCAGCGTAAACAAATCTACCTCCAAACCCTGGGTGTCATTTCAATCTTCCTGCACTGCTTTGCACTGTGACATCCAAGCAGTAACTCATTTACAACCAACCAGCCTGTTTTTCCTCCCAGGGCTCCCCCAATTCTAGGGCATCTGGGAATTCTGGTTGTTGAGTTTTACATTTAATCCTGTTCAATTTCATTGGTGTTGCCCTAGCCTAGTGATGGCAGACCTTTTAGAGCTTTAAAGCCTAAATGGCACGTGTGCTATGAGTTTGCCACCTCTGTTCTGGCCTTTCATCATGTTTGGAGTTACCCTTTAACTTTGTTTCATCTGAAACTCTGAGCATACACTTTTGTGGTCTTTGTTCAAGTCACTGACAAAAATGTTGAGCGGTATTTTGTCAGTGCCCTGAGGCACCCTTTTAGGGACTTATTTCCACATGGGCATAGTTTCTTTATCCACAGAGTCTGGTTCTGTTTATATTAAATCTATTTGCTGTAATCGGATTGTTTTCTAGGCTACTTTTTCACCTCTTGCATAATGCTATCAGAGGAAGTCAAATGTTTTGATGCATTGAAGGCATTTTATATCCAAAGCATTTCTGTGATCTAACAATTCCATCAAAGCAAAAAGGAGTGATTTTAAACTGAGTTGTTAATAGAATGCTTATATTTAAAAAAAAAAAAAAGAAAGAAAAACTTGGGGGAAAAAAGGATAGTTTATGTTACAATATTCTTTTGTTCCCTTCACAATAGAACTCAGGACCTTGCACTTGTCAGGCCGGCACTTGTGCAGCTGAAATACATTCTCCGCCCTTATAGTCATTTTATTAAAGTTTCAAAATATAAGCTGAGCATGATGGTGCATGCTAATAATCCCAACATTTGGGAGGTTGAGGCAGGAGCATCACCAGGGATTTGAGTGTAGCCTGGGCTACACAGTGAGTTCAAAGCCAGCCTGAACTGCACTGGGAGACCCTGTGTGAAAACAAACAAAAACAGATTTCATCCCTACGCCTAGCATGGTAGTTGCACATCAAGACTCTGCATAGATATCTGTTGACTAAAGGTATGAATAAATGAATTTTCAAAATGATTCATTACCAAGTTTTACTGGTGATTAACATTATACACACTGATTTCCAGTTTCCTGAGAGTTTGACCCACCTTCCTATCTTCTGTGATCTCAGGGTGACTGGCAGGGCATAGCTTTCAGGCCTCAGGCCAGGGCTGGCTTCCTCCCGCTCCACCATGATGGCGATATCTGCCTGCCCAGACCCCTCCCACCCAGCCTCCCCTTCTCGGCCCTCCAGGCCCTCCTGGGCCCCACCAGGCCATGCAGTGGCCTCAGTGCCTTGCGAGGCTGTTTGGAAAGCAGTAGGAACATGATGGCCTGGTCTTGGTCCCTTGTAGGAACGTCCACGGTCCCTGCTCTGCTGGTTTGAGGAAACTGACCGTCTTCAGGACAGACCAGTGACAGTTAAGTGCTCAATAAAAGCACATCTGTAACTGTAGGTACTTGGGACACTGAGGCAGGAGCATTACAAGTTTGAGGTCAGCCTGTGCAACTTAGTGAGATCCTATTTCAAAAAAAAATTTTTTTTTTTAAAAAGCTTTTTAGGGGCTGGGGATTTAGCTCAGCGGCATAAGCGCCTGCCTTGCAAGTGTGTGGTTGTGAGTTTGATCCCTGGTACCGATAAAAAAGAAAAAGACAAAAAAAAAAAAAAATGGAGAGAAAAAAGGCTTTTTAAAGGACTGGGAAATAGTTCTGCGGTAGAGCCATTGTATAGTAACCTCAAAGCCCATGATTCAACTCCCCAACACTGAGAAACAAATAGATAAACAGTGGGCTCCATGTTTCTTCCATTCCTCTTCTGCCATGTCACCTGAGGACCGGCCCTGCCCGTGGCTCGCTCTTCTGGCTGTGATCACAGTCTGGAAATTCCTTTCTGTCTTAGAAGTTTTATTAGGGGCTGATGCTCTGTTGCCCGCTTCCACCCCAGAGCCACCCTGCCCCTCGGCACTTGCCTTGGGCTCCTGGGCCCCCTATATCCTCCCTCCTCACCCTTTTGAAACAGGAGGGGCTCTGGGAAGGTGCCAGCCGCCAACCCCTTCTCCTGGCACCCTTCTGGGAGTCCCGTGTCTCAGTTGTGCATTTTTCCCTCTCAGTTCACCATTCTCTCATTTTCAGTCTTAGAATTTATCACTGTTTATATTTGTTTTGTTTTGTTTTGTTTGTTTTGCCAGAGTTTCCTGACTTTTTTGAAAAGATTTCCCTTCAAGTTTAAGATACACATGGTACAATTTCCAACATCTCTTTCTATCAGGGCTCTTAGAGAATCACCCATGTGAAAGGCATCCCCACGGTAAAGTCCCTTTCCCGGGAGTCAGACAGATTCACTGCTGAATGAGACCACACAGACCCTCCTCTGCCAACCCAGACACTGTCACAGGATACGGAGCTGGCGGGGACTTCTCAGCAGGACAACGGGCTCCAACACACCGAAACTGGGGCCTGACCCTGAAACTCAACCAGGGTTAATTAAGGACACTGTGCCCAGCCCTCTGAGGTTGGCTAGGAAAGGCAGCCCAGTTCCTTACCGCAGCTGCTAAGAATCAGAAACAGGGAGAGAAAGGATGCAAAGCACTTGGTCACACACAAACCTACTGCCAGAGAGTTAAAGGGTGTAGAGTAGGGCATGGTGGTGCACCCCTGTCATCCTAGTTCTCTGGGAGGCTGAGGCAGAAAGATCAAAAGCTTGAGCCCAGGCTGAGCAATTTAAAGAATTTTAGGATTTAGGGCTGGAGAGTGTAATGATCTAACCCAACATGAGGGAAGCCAAACATAAGGATACAGGAGAGGAGGACTTGGGATAGGATTTGTGTTCTTAAAGAAAAACTTAAGGCAGGGATGATGGTGCCCACTTATAATCCCAGCAGGTGGGAGCTGAGGCAGGAGAATCGATGTGGGTTCAAGGCCAGCCTGGGCAATACAGTAAGTTTGAGGCCAGTTTGAACTGCATTGTGTGACTCTACCTCAGAAAGAAAGAAAGAAAGAAAGAAAGAAAGAAAGAAAGAAAGAAAGAAAATTAAAAACTGCTACCTTCCTGCTATTTCCAACCATTCCATTCATTAAACAAATGCATATCAAGAAAGAAAAACATAGGCCAAGAGTCTATTGTGTGCCCACTTGGACCCCCACCCCCCCAGAGCCCACCCTCAGAAAGTGTTTAGAGAAATATCTAACGATGCCCGAGGGCAAACAAACAGCCAGCCTCACCACTGGGGGCACCAAGAGTTCCGTTGGGGGGCCTGGGGTTGGGTCACGGACAGTGGAAATCTCTGGAAAAACCCTAGTACCCCTGTTGCAACATTCTAGGAAAACAGCCTGACGCCGTCCATCCGTTGAATAAGACTGAATCACCCAGGGGAAGGTTTGGGGTAGTCAACACTGTCCCACGCAGCAAATCCCCACCCTTGGTTCCCCAAAGATGCTCCAGCGGCCCTCTGGGGACCATGGGAGGAGGGACCACACTGATCTGGAATTTCACCGAGACACATGCAAATGGCCCAGTGGGCTCAGTGGGGGAAATTGCGAAGTAGGAGTCTGGTAGCTCCGTGTGTATTCCCAGGAAAGCAGAAGTGAGAGTGGGTGCGATCTCCCAGTTCCCCTCTCCCTGCACCCTTGTCCCTCTCCAGGATGGGCCCCTGTCCTTCCCTGGAAGAAACAAGAGACCGATGACTTTTACCCAGTCCCATCTGGGAAAATGCTCATCTGGAAAGGAAGCCACCCTTGTAAGTTTCCTTAAGGACCCAGAATTGGGAAATAGATTTGGGGGTACGGCAAAGGGGGAGGCTTGAAACAGGTGAAAGGAGAAGACATCCGTCTCTTCCCCTACTCTGTCAAATGTCAGGCAGTGAACCCGAGGTTCGCCTGGGCCCCCTGTGGCAGTTTGGTCTGACCAGTGACAACAAGGACCTAGCCTGTCTGGCTCCAGCGGTGGTGACCACCCAGCTTCCCCGCTGCACCCTGGATTGTCAGCCCCCAGGACCAGGCAGATACTGGTCTGGCAGGAAAAGGGGACACAGCTGGGGTGTGTGTGTGTGGGCTGCGGCTCTGGTTCACCTGAAAATCACGGCCTCAGCCACCGAGTTGTGATGAGAGGACTGTACTCTTGGTAACTTCACTGTAATTCACCGCCCATTGACTGCGCTCCCACTTCCACTCAAGAGTGAGGGCGCCCCTCCCCTCCCCAGCAGGAAGCAAACCACTGTGCCCTGCCGAATGAGTCAAAGCCCAGGACAGCTGTTCCATATTTAGGAAGGCAGGTGCTGGCACATGCGTGTGGGTTTCCCCTCACCTGCTCCAGCATGCCCTGAAAGACAGATGAAAAGCCCCAGGGAGAAAGTGGTTTCCTGGCTCTTCCTGGGCCCCGTGTAAACCACACTTTTCTCTCTCTGCTCTCTCTTCTCTGCAGGCTGTGCTCCTTTTATAAGATTTCTATCCAGGTACAGGTGACTGGCAAGGCTTTTTTTTTTTTTACAGTCCTGGTGTGTGTGTGCAGGACAGAACCCGCAGCCTCACGCATTCTAGGCAAATGCTCTACAACTAGCTACTGTCCCAGCCTTCTTTTATTTTGAGACTGTTAAATTGCCCAGGATGGCCTTGAACTGTACTTGCCATCCTCCTGCCTCAGCCTCCCAAGTAGCTGGCATTACAAGTGTATGCTGGCTTTTACCCATAGAATTGCTTAGATTGCTGGCCATGGCAGTGTATGCTTATAATCCTACTCTGGGAGGCCAGGGCAGGAAGATTTTAAATTTACTTGAGCCCAGCCTGGGCAATTTTGTGACTGAGATTTTGTTTCAAACCAATTAAAAAAAAAAAAAAAAAGTAACTCAGCACAAAAGCTTTGAGTTCAATTCCCAATACTACAAAAAAAAAAACTTTCATTTTTAATTTGTATAGAATTTATTTTCTTGGGGCAGGGGATTTAGCTCGGTGGTTTAAGCGCCTGTCTGGCAAGCCCTAGGTCATGAGTTCAATCCCTGGCACCAAAAAAAAAAAAAAAAAAGAAAAGAAAAAGAAAAAAATTATTTTCTTTGAAGGTAACACTAATTTAGTGTACGTACGCTCCATAGCTCACAAGTATTAGTTCAATAATTGAAAAGAAATAGAAGGGAAAGGAAGGCTATAAACTGCGTGGGCCCGCTGGCCCACGAGGGGTGCCCTGGCTGTCCCGGGGCCAGTCAGCTGGAGCACTGACCTCTGCACTTTCCCAGCCTCTTCCTCTCTGCTCCATTTCCTCCCTGGAAGAGCAAACAGCAGAGCCGCCCCAGGACTGAGGGGTGGGGGTGGGGAACCTTCCTCCAGCTCCTCTGTGTGGGCCCAGCAAGATCAAGGCCACAAAGGCAGCCCCAGACCAGACGATGCCTCTGCATTTTAATGAGATCCAGCTGATGGGTCCTGCTATCCCTCCGAGAGAAGATGAACGCTACAGAACAGCTGGCCACCCATGGGCAGAGAGGGGCCTTTGCTTTGCTCCTCCGAGCTCTTTTGGGAAATCCTGGGCTCCAGGGAGAGTGATTTGGTTTAGATCCCGGCAGTAACTTGCATTCTGATGGTGGGGCACAGATCTGTCTCCTTGCACTTTCTGGGGGGGGGCTCGCTGCACTTACCTGCATCCTGCTTCACAGATGGAGGACAGTGTCCCAGAGAGCCCAGAGAGCTGGGGCCACCTAGAGAAGTGGTCACTCCCCGCAAGGGGCAGCTGAAACCTTTGATCAGACCTTTGCAGAACATGGGGTAATGAGATCCCCTAAGGGGCTGGGATTTGGCGCCCTAAAGGTGACCCTGTGACAACTTTCACTTAATGATCATTATGGAGACACCCATGTCCACCTGGGATATGGGGTTCAACACTGAATTAGGGTGGAGGGTCACCCATGGGGACAGGAGAGTCACAGTTAGGAAGTCCAGGTAAATGGGACACGCGGGTAGGAGACAGTGGGCACAGAAGCCGCGTCCCTCGGACACAGGCAGGGAGCAAGGGCGGACAGGCGCTGCACCAGAGAATGTGGCTTCCCTTGCTTCCCGGACTAGGGAAGGACCAGGGCCCGGCCAAAAAGGGGAGGGAACGGGGCGCGGCCTGGGAAGAAGGTGGGGTGCTGGGGAGGGAGGGGAGCCCTGCCCCAACGTGCCCTCTATCCCGGGCACGCACCCTGCCGGGAAGTCCTGGGGTCGCAGCTGCTCCGCGGCCCGGCCCAGAATAGCCTCTCTTCCGGGCAGGGCTGCCCTGGCCTGGCCCGCAGCGCCAGGTCCCGAAATAGGGCTCCGCGGGGCCGGCAGAGGGCGGCGGACTGCGGGAGGGGCCGCCCCATCTGGGGCTCCCGCACCGGACTGGGCCTCAAGTGCAAGGTCCGAGAGGGGGCTGCAAGGCGCAGGCCTGGACCAGACTGGGGCATCCGGGTGGGGAGGGCCCTGCCGCGGGGACCTGGACAGGGCGTGGACCCGGGGCTGGGGGAGGGACAGGCTGGGGGACGGTTCAGCCGGGGGCTCGAGGCGCAGTGAGCGGATATTGGGGGCCGGGATCCCCGGCGCGGGGCCAGCCCGGAGGAGGGGTGGGAGGGGGAGCGAGGCGCTGACCTCACCGCGGCGAGGAAGCCCGTCGTCGGGCCGCGCTGATGGAAGGCCGGAGGAATTCGCAGCTGGCGGTTCGGTCGCTGGTCAGTCGGCTGTGCGCGCTCCCGCGGGTTCCCTTCCCCTGTTAACGTTGCCGACCTGGGAGCAACGGCGCGGCGCTGGCCACAGCCCACATCACTGACCTGGGCGCGCGTGGATCGAGGCGCGGGGAGGGTAAAGCCTGTCCATTCCGTGGTCACCCGCTGGGCCACGTGTCTGAGCCTGAGCCAGGCAACAGGGAGAATGGCCCCCACCCTGCACCCCCAGGGACACCCTCCTACCTGCCCCAGTATCCTGCTGGTTTTTGCTGAAATTCTGCATCCTGCTTCCCCTTCTCCTGGCACGCAGTGTTCACAATGCTGGGACCCCAGAAGATGGGCAGCTTCAACCTCAACACACCAGTACCACTGGGCTAAGTCCACAGAGTCCTGGGGGCCACCTCCGAGTGCCTGACCTCACCTTCTGCCCATCACAGCCACACCCCTTCATCTTCTACCAACTGCCAACCTCTTTAACCTATTCCGGCCTCAGTTTCCCCAGTGGCTAACCAGTGATTAGTTGTATCTGCCCTCTGGGTTGTTGTGATGAAAACACCCTGCACTCTGCAAGGATGGAGTCCTCTCCCCTGGTGCCCACCTCTTTTCCCACTCCAAAGCCTGCCAGTGGCACTACCCAGCCCCCCGCCCTGGGGTTGTGTGCTTGGACTCCCTTGCCGGAGCCCTCCCTCCAGGTTACCTTGAACCCGCCTCATTCAAAAGGATGGTCCAACTTGATGTCAGAACCTGCAGGGATCCTGGGCTGAAGTCCAAGAACATGAAGGGCAGGCCGCCTGGCGGGAGCAGGCAGCCTGTCCTTCTGACGCTAGCTGCGCCCTCTCTGCCCTTTGTAGCGTGAGCTGGAGGTCACAGGACTGGGCAGCCTCTGAAAACCCCTAGAAAGACTACCTTGGCCTGGGGGTGGGATTTGGACCTCTGGGCCTGGAAGAAGCTCTCGCTGCTGCCCCTTCTCCTATATGAGACAGGAGGCCTGAACCCAGAGAACAGCAGGACCTCATGGAAAGAAGGCGGGCCTGATTTACTGTAACTTTCTGGCTGAAAGCCTGATGGTCCTGTGGTCGGGCAGGCCTGCCCAAGAGGCCTGTGGTACAGGGAGGTCTTGGAGAACTCTCTCGGCTTGGACTGCTAGAGCCCAGTTTGTGTATCCTGTAGAGTGCAGCAGGGGGGCTGCAGCTGATTTCCCAGAGAGGTTGGTGTGGACAGGTGGGCTGCCTGGAAGGTGGCCATTACCTAAATGCCAGATCATCTGCAAGAAAAAGAAAAAAAAAGAAAGAGCCATCCAGGGGCTTAGGCCTTTCCTGAGTTGGTCCAAGCAGCCACTGTTGACCAAGCACTCACTATGAGCTGGGCCATCATCATGGCCACCCCAGGAGTGGGGAGTTACTGTCCCCACGACACCGGTGAGAATGCAAACTGGAGTGAAACCTCACTCCCACCCACCACTCCACCTGGCCCTCTGAGTATGGGAACAGTGTGGCCTGAAAGGCGGCAGTGGCCCAGCTGCCTGCCAGGTGCTCCCCCCCCCCCCCACCGCACACTCTCTGCTCGGTGCTCAGCTGACTTCCTGCCCCTGGAAGCACTTCTGTGGGTATGCAGGGGCAGGGCGGGCCCCTTCCTGTGGTTCAGGTGAGGGCATAACCTCCTGCCCCCTTGACATCCCCTCCCTAGTCTTTCCCGGGCACTGTAAGTCAGATCTAGGGACCCTAGGGAGCCTCTGCAGGCCAGGGATTTGTCCATCACCCTGCACTGCAGATGAGGACCAGGGTGGGCAGGGGGAGGGCTGCAGGCCTCACTAACAAGGGCTTGGTGTCCCGAGAATCTTCTCTCTCCAACTGTCCAAGCCCACACGGAGTCCTTCTCCATTGTGCCACCCCTCTGCCAGGCCAATGGTGCCGTGGCAAACACTGCTGTTGAAAGCCTCTCAGCCTCCTCTCCTTGGCTCTCTTTAGCCTTCTAACGTGCACTGAACAGGAGCCCCTGAGGAATGTAATGTCCATCTTGCCCATGCCCACCTCACTGTCAGGTCCTCCAAAGCTTTGGAAAGGGCTGGCCATCTCACTTTTTCCTAGGTAACACTGCCAAGCAAGTGTGGCACCATCTGTGTCTCCTGTGCCCAGCTCCAGGGCTCTACCACATGCCCCTCTTGCCGGAGAAAGCTCAGCAAAGTCTTCTAGGGGGTGGGGTGGTGCTGACAGGGACCATCTGAGGCTGTGCGGCCTGAGGCTCCGCACAGGGAAATGAAGGGAACATCCCAAAGGAAGTGAGACACTCAGGGCTGCACCAGGCCATCATGCCCTGCAGGCCACAGGCATTCTTGGCTGTCTACGCCTGCCTCCCAGCCATGCAGCTGGCTGGGTCATCTGCTGGCCAGGCATCGTTTTAGCCTGCTCAGGGTGCCCGAGGCATCTTATTGGAAAATAAAGGGACATTCCATTTGTCGTTCTGTCCAAGAGCAAGGAGAAGCACATTTCTGAGACTCTTCCTGGAAGATAAGGAAAGGGAAAAAATTTTGTTTTTTCAGTGTTAGGGATTAAAGGCCTTGCATATTCTAGGCATCTGCTCCACCACTGAACTACACCCCAACTGAAAAGGTATGTGCAATCCCACATGACCACTCTACCGACTGAACAGTATCAACCCCATGCCTCAAAGTCATGTCTATATACAATCTATCAATGCAAACTGATTTGCCAGTAGCACCCTTGTGGGTATAATTAAACTGAAATAGGTCCTAGTGGATTACTAGGGCTATGCCTACGTAGTCAATGACCATTGTCCTCTATGAAGAGGGCAGTTTGGACACACACACATGTACAGAGAGAAGAGAGAGCACCATGACTGGGGTGATATGTCTACAAGCTGAGGAGGTTGCCAAGGACTGCCAGGAGCTACCAGAAGCCAGAAGGGATAAGGAATGATCCTTCCCTAGAGACCTGGGAGATGGTCCTTGATTTCTGAACTTCTGGCCTTGGGCACTGTGAGAGAATGAATTCCTATGGCCATAACCAGCCCAGGTGGTGGTATTCCGTTATAGCAGCCCCAGGACACTAACAGAACCACCAAATATGCAACAGGGGGCACTTGGCAGAAGGAGAAGAGAATGCCTCAGGCCCATCGAGAAAAGAGAGAGACCAAGGAGGGAACAGGAAGGGGCATTTCCCGAACTTGCTCCTCGCCCCAGACAGGAAATCAAGGACCTAGCAGCAGAATTTCTGAAGAAGAAGCCACCTAGTAAGAGCTTGGATGCCAGGTGAACAGGAAGTGTTAGTTCATACAGGGTCCCCAGAAGATGCTGCGAACAATAATAAACTCACACTGGGCTCTTGGAGGTGCATGCCTATGTCTCAGTACGCCGAGACACTGGAGCAGGAGGATCGTAAGTTGGAACCCAGCCTGAGCAATTTAATGATTTAGCAAGACCCTGTATTAAAAATAAAAAAAGGAAGGGATGGGTTTATAGATCAGCATAAAGGCCCTAAGTTCAATCCCCAGTACTGCAATAAGGAAATAAGTAATAAACTCATGCCGTGGCCTCATCCTCCAAATAGCTAAGAAGGTCTGATTGACATCACACAGATAGATTAGGAGCCAAGGCAGAGAGCTAAGGTACCGGCTGAGGTCACAGAGAACACACAGTGATGTGGCACAAAGGCTACTTGCTCTCTACTAGTTTAGGGCTCTCATGACTGCAGCCGGGGCCTCCCTGGGGCTGCTTCCAGTAAGCACTCTCACCGTCATCGAAAGAACACTGGAGCCAGCATACCAGGCTTTGGATCTAGGTCATCTGTATGACCTTGGGCAACTTCTACTACATCACTGTTCCCCAGGTCCTCCGATGAAAATGTGGGGACAATAGCAGTACCTAATGCCTGGAGAATGCAGTGTTAATGTGTGTCAAGTGCTCAGAATAGAGCCTGGCACTTGGAAGCACAGCTGTAAAAGTGTTTGTGAAATACATAAATAAAACATGCTGGTTAAGGACTGTCTTCCTCCAGGGTGAGGGCAAGCAGAGGGCGATGGCTCAGCCCCCATCTCACTCCCCACAGGCTGGGGGAAGATTGAGGTCAACAGTTTTCTCCTGCATGTCTCGTCTATGTTCAAGAGAACCCTCTAGAGAGTTGCAAGGAAGGACCCGCGGTTCCACCTACATCTTGGACAGGCTGACTCAGCGGCTTAAGTCCTGCCTCTGAGGCCACGGTCACCTTTGGGTCTTGCTTTCTCCTCTGGCCAAAACGTCCACTTCAAGCCCTGGTGGCCCTCTCCAGGTTAGCTGTCTTGCCCGTCCGGGAACCTGGCCTGGGGTGAGTTGCATTTACTCCTCATCCCATGATGGATAACACACAGCACACATCCTGGGATAGAGCCTGTCGTTTTTATGCATGGAGCCCGGAATGCGGGGAGTGGCAGCGTGTGTGTAGCAACTCTGTGTGTGCCTCGTGCATCTCTGGGAAGTTCTTGTCATCCCTGGCCACTTCCCTGTCTGTCTTTCTGGAAGCCTGTGCCCTCTACCAGCATCTGACTCTTCAACCGGCTCCTCTCTAGGCTACTCTCCTACGAGCCAGAGTCCAGCCCAGTAGACCCTGGGGTTTCTTGCCCCCCCCCCCACAGGACTGACCAGCTCTGTCCCCATCCTGTGTGGCCAGAAGGTCCCTTGTGGTGACTGGGCCCTTGGATGACCGTCTGTTTCTCTCAGCCTGGAGAGGCCTGGAAGAGGACGGGGGAGGGTCCAGGCTGCAGTCCTTGGCTCTTCCCCCTCTACTCCAGGGCTCTGACAGTGGCTTGCTCAGGGTCCTTGTAGAGTTTTCAGCTAAACCCTGGCCCTGTGATGGCCCGAGGAGTCTAGTGGGGAAGCCCCGCCGTGCAAGGCAACCGTCCAAGGCCATTGACTGCCCTTCCCCCACCTCGGTCAATGCCAACTGAGCGTCTTCCTGCCAGCCCCCCTTGCCTACTTTTACCAGGTGCCAAGGGCCGCTGAAAGGGCAGCAAATGGCTAGCGGACCACTCTTGGAAGCCAGCCTGCCTCCCTCTGGGTGCTGGCTTTGCTCCCTCCAGCCTCCTTTTCACAGGTTTCTACGATAGGAAGGGATTCAGAGGTCATCCCTCTCACCCCTTAGTTTCTAGAAAGGGTAGTTTGGAGGGATTTGGGGTTCTCTTGGGCTTTCTCTTGGATGCTGAGCTGGCCAGAAGCCTTGCTGGCTTCCTATGGGAACTCTGTCCACTGGGAACAAGCCAAAATATCTAACTTTCCCCTGTTACTGGGCCATAAACTGACTCTGTGCTGCCTGCCATCACTCACTGTCTGTGGCCAGAGGGCAGCCCCGGATCATCCCCCAGGGCTGACCATGGTTCTGATGAGAGCTTTCACAGCGGCCGCTAAGCAGAGACCCCGGGTGCAGGTGCTCAGTGGGGCTCTGCCATACAGGTGTACAGGCAAAAGGGGTGCTGGATTTGGAGTCAGGGGACAGCTTCTGACACCACTTATCTGTCTTTGGAGGTAGATCCAAAGCCATGTGCACCTTTGTTGCCTATCCACAACGTGCATTTTGCCTGCTGTACTTACCTCTGAGGCTGCAGGAAGGAGATGGTGAGACACCTTAGGGTAGATTTTTTGTTTGGTTGGTTTTTTGCGGTGTACAGGATGGAATCCAGGGCCTCCTACATGCTAGGTAGGCAAGCACTCTACCACTGAGCTACAAATTCAACCTTAAAATGCATTTTGAAAAAAACACAAATTAAGGGCTGGTGATGTGGCTTAGCGGTAGAATTCTCGCCTAGCATGTGGGAGGCCCTGGGCTCCATCCCCAGGGCTGCAAAACAAAACCAAAACAAAACGAAGTGCTATTTATACAAACATAGGATGCTAAAAATAAAAGATGCTACTTCACTTCTGGAAGTAAGATTGTGAATGACCACACAATATTTTAATAACTTCACTGGCCCCATTATTTAAAGAGCATGTCTTCTTTCCTATGGCCACGGGTCAGGCATTTCGTGGGCTTCCCCCAAGCATCCCAGTTCTAGATATGCTGAAAACCAGCAGGAGATACAGTAGTACGTGGTCCAGAGCAGGCATTCGATACGAATGTGTTTCCTGAACACAAGCGAGTTTCCTTCCTTTGAGAGTTCACAGCCCACTTTGGAAAAAAGCAGTACTGAGATGAAGCAGTAATGGAGACGCCTACTATGCTCGTGGGATGCTTTTCCAGGGACAAGAAGCTGGGCCCCAAGGGAAGCTGAAGGGAGGACAGAGGACAGAAGGGAGCCTCAACAGAGAGGC